GGAGACATCATTAATATAAATAATTTTTATGGCCGTTGAATAAGAAGTGTTTCTTTCACAAGAAATGTATAAAATTAGTGCTGTATTAGACTTACGGTACCTAATTTACATACTGTGCAGACGATAATAAACTCAACTTACTAGCCTAAAATCTCCGTAGCGTGTTGCCAGGCGGCAGAAAGCATATATATAATTATAATAAAGTTACAATAAATTAAGTTAATATATAATTATATATACAGTACCTAATTTATATATAATTAATATATAATTATATGTACAGTACCTAATTTATATATAATTTATATATAATACTAAACAGACGATAGCAAACTCAATTTAGCCGCTCCGTAGCGTGGCGCAGGGTCGGAGGTAAGTAGTTCTGCTGCTCATCCACTATTGGTCCAGACTCTATCAATCTTGTCGCGAAACGACGTTATAGGAGGTACTTTATACGAAAGTTTCTACAATTTTTTCGCTACGTTAGAGGAATTGTCGTTATAGGAACGTACGTTATAGGGGGGCGACTGTATATAGGCCTATGTATACACGTACCATAAAATCAATATATTACATTTATATCTCTTAATGAATATATGATTTTATGTTCCACTATGATTCATTTTCAAGATAAAAATCTAATTTATAATTTCCACAATGTAATCTAAATATATAAAATTACTTGACTGACTGATTGACTGAGTCACTGATTCATCATCGTCTAGAGCAAACCGCTGAACCTAAAGAAGTGAAATTTGATACACAGTTGGGGTACGTCATGAAAACGCACACTAACAAGTAAGAAGGGATTTTTCGAAATTCCCCCGTGGGGAGAGAGTGAGAGGATTAAGGCTTAACCGGAAAAGCGGATTCTACTGTACTATTTTAGATGCGATATTTTTGTTTTTAATTACGTTTAGTCTTCATTGAGTACTTAGGTATATTAAATTGATAACGTTTGAGACATTGTTATAAATATTTTTATATATTTCTATTATTTAACCAAATGTTCGAACCGTATTAAATTCGAATTGCATATTGGTTCGATTATAGAATGATTGTAAACGTTCCAGAAAATTGATCAAATTGAAAACAGTTCGTTTTATTCTCAGTAATTCTCATCATTCTCAGCGGTTGGTGTTATATAACAATTATTATGGTTGTTGAAATATTGAATATAAATGGGGTTTGCTTGCAAAACCTCCGCGGGCGAAGTCGCGGGTAACAGCTAGTTTATTATATTTTCACGATAAAAACCATTTTAAAAGCAAACTAATTTAAACTTCATACTGATATTGCCCACCAAGGTTATACCAATTAAATACAATTTATTCTATCTCTACAAACTAAAAATTCATCTGCATTATTTTTAACTAATTATATTCCATTATATAAATTAATGAGTGATTCTGTATATTCATTAAATCAACTACAATATATACTATTGTTTATGGTTTCTTATGAATTTATGTTGAGTGTAATGTAAATAAATTATGTTGGTTTTTGAATATTAACCTTTTAGAAAAAACATTTTTTATGGGTCAATTTATTTTATTTTCAATTTTATCTATTTGAGTAATTATTGGGATATTAAATAGATATTTTCAATAAGGAAAGTATTTTAAAAGGAAGAGATTTGATAGATACTGTCAATAGGTATTCAATATCTATTGAAAATATTTATGAGAAGATTAAATACTTATTGAAAGTACCTATCACAGTATTGAATATACTTTTAAATTACGTATTAAATTATTATATAGCTATTGAAAGTATTTATTAAAATATTAAATACCCATTGTAGGTATCTAACAGAGGATTAAATACTTATTGAAAGTATCTATCATAGCACTGAATACTTATTGAAAATACATATTAAAGCATCGAATGCTTTTATTAAAGACATTTTTCAAAAGATTAAATGCTTATTGAGAGTTCTACGCGACTATTGAATGCTTACTCAAATGCCTGTCAGTAGTAAATATGTATTGAAAATAGTTGTTGGACCATTAAATACTCATTGAAAATGTTTACCAGAGGATTAAATATCGACTAAATGTGCTTATTGAAGTATTAAATGCTTATTAAAAGTATTTATTCGAGTATTACATATGCGTATAGTGATACTATTACATTTGAATCAAAGTACTTTCAGTGCTTTGATTCTAATATAATTTCAATAGATGTTAAGTGTTGAAATGCACTAAAAGAAAAATGGTTATAATATTAAAATATATTCTATGATAAATTCTTTTCATTTACCATTTCTTTCACGTATTTACATTTACGTGATATACAATAAATGAAAATTAAAGCAAAGACAGTAATTACAATGATGTATATTAAATCTCACTTAATGCTTCGATAATCTTGTTAAGTATTAAATAAATTTTAAACATTTTTAAACCAATAAATTAAAATTAGTTTCTTAAAATAACTAACAAATATAATATAGGCCACAGTTATTAAAATCGTTTAGTAATTTAATATATTATAATTTCACTTGTCCAATTCAATTGATTTTCAATATACAAACACATTGCTGAATGTAAATTGTAAATTAATATTACAATTTCACATTTCAATTAATTGATTTACACGAATTTACTCTCAACAATGTTTCCATTTACGAACAATTTTAATATCACATCTTATATATTTTTTAAACAAAGACCATTTTATAAGTATATATGTACACAGATGGCTCAAAAGTCAATTAACCATTGTAAGGACTAAATTTCTATCTTACTTAAAATACTTAGTCATATTTTTCACATGTTTCCATATATATATGTATATTAAATTTATGTTTCATATTTACCAGTGTGACGAGAACACATAAAATAAGAACAATTATTTATTGTGACATCGTCACGATGCTAGGCTGCAATTTTTAATCATATTTTGAATTTATTTCATTTATAATAGACTTTTTTGTTCTCCACCTCAAATTAGTAGTGGCTTGCCCCTGTGCATCATACTTTTCCGTTAACAATAGGAGCCGTGCCGGTCATCTATCTAACACCTTACAGGGAAACATTTTTGAATTGAAATTTCTATCGGAAGTTCGTATATAGTTAATCGGAAACCCTTGCCCTTAATATCATTACATCAAATCTCGTTTTACATCTTTCTAACTTCGTTCTCGAGGTTAAGGAAAGACTGACAGACGGTCGGACGATAGCGCAAATTTATAGGTCTAAAGTTTTTTCAAATTGCAGCCCAAAAATTCCGTTAACTGACTTGATCTTGGGTATGATTAAAATGGCTCTTTTAGTATCTACATGTAAGGAAAACACACAAAAAAATTGTATAATTTTCTAGTTCTATTAACTTTGTAATAATCCTTTTATTTGAAAAATTTATTCAAAAGCCTCCAATGTTAAATTGAAAATTTTCGATTAAATTTTTTAATAAAATAAATTTTAATATTCAATGAAATTTAATACATTAAAAATTTAAAGTTAAATTATGTAAATTTCACCGAAATTCCACGAAAAATTTCAATTTCCCTTATTTGTTACATTTTGTCTAATGACCATGTGCTACGTAGATATTAGTCTCGATGTATTTTACAAGTTAATAAACAACATAAAAAACCAATTAAAAATATTTTTATCCCACGCGTATACTCTGGCGTAATTTTAAAAATATAAGAAATAAAAATATTCTTCGCGCTAACTTTTTTTTTTTTTTGCTAACTTTCAATCTCTTATTGAATATGAGTTATCCCTAAGGGCATAAGTATCAATATTAAATAAACTTAGAACTTAAATTTTCATTACTG